AACACTAATCCTCTTAGAAACACGTTTTTCTTTCAGAATAGATACATAGTGAAGGTTAAAAGGGTTAACAAGGCTGACTCTCAAGCTCAGGGAGGCATTGTATGGTAATTTTGCTAATTTTTGAGGCTGAACCACAATGCTGTTATATCTAAGGAGTGTGAATAATGCTTTTCTTCACACATGAAAGAGCTCCACAGGGATGAACTCAGTTAAATGAAGGTAGAAGCAAATATCTTAATTTTCAGCCAACAGTAGCTTCTCTTGTAACAGCATTCTGCTGTTGACTGAATCCTAGTAACCTTAGCTTCTCAAATTGTGATGTAAATTTCAAAGTTCTTATATGTTTTCTACTAGGCTTGTATTCTTCTGTACATCAATGTGGAAGTTTCATTGGTTTCCATTGCTCCAATACAGGAGTATGATGTATCCCAAATTTGCCTTTGTATCAAGTCAGAGGCCAATGCAGACTTTCAAGCAAAACGTGGTGGAGCCATCAGCCATTGAAAAAAAAGGACAAACTTATTTAATTAATTGATAAAAAAGACAGTAAGACATACCTCAAAGTCTAATTTCATATTTTGAGGTGAAAGAAATGTCAACTTCCTTTTTAACAATTGAAAGGATTTAGCACATCAATTCCTAGACCAGTACAACCTGATGCCTCCTTACAGCTTCTTCTTTATGTGATCTTCTTACATGTTTGGTTTGCTCTTTGTAGAGCCAAACTTTTCTTAGACTTGTTCCTTGTTTTAGCATCCTGTTTTGCCCTGCAAAAGTGGTAGTGAGCAATTCCACCTAAAACCCTTTGCACACTAAGTAATCTTGGTATTTCAGGTACTCAAGCCTCCTTCCCTCAGATGAATGGTCTCTTCTTGAGGCTGCAGAGTTGAATTTACTTCTCTTGATAATGAAGTAAATCCCTGTGACTGAGCTTCAACCAGAGGAGGAAAGTGTGTTGCAATATCTTAATATTGTCACAAAGACCTCGCAGACAGGTCATCAGTGAGGTCTTCTGCATGTGGCAGACTCAGGACTGAAGCACTGAACTGAAGCTCTATCACAATCTCAGAACAGCTGTCTAAAAGAGGGTTGAGAAGTAGCTTCTCTGCCAGTTTCTTTGAAAAGAAAAGGAGCAGATCTTTTCCTACTTTAGTGACACTTCTGAAAGGCATCTTTGGCAAAGACCCCTAATTCTACAATCACCATTTACATAATCATTTAATACAAGTATCTTTCTACCTGTAGTGCTGGACCCTAACAGGGCCCTCTCTCCCTGCACAGAGTTAAGAGGCTCTTCTCTCAGTATGGTGGCTGCCACCAACTTCATTTAGAGGTTCCCAACTACCCTTGTAGAAAACATAACTCCAAGAATCTGATCCTGTCCCGTGAGCCAGGCATCTAAAAACGAACTGCAACACTTAAGTCACTTCTAAAATGTAAGCCTCCAAGCATCTCAGTTGACTTCCAATTTCATGCAAGGAGGCACAAATTTTTTTACTAATTCTGCAAGAAAATCTGCAGTGCTACAGCTGCAAATCTAATGGCTTTTTTCAAACTGTGCTGGAAACACAAAGAGGACCTCTGGCTTTGTGTTATGAATGACCGTTATTTTACTTGGTGAACGTGGCAAATTACTCGCACAGTAAAGAACATGTAATTACAAAGTACAAACAGTAACTGATTATTATGATTATTTCAAACCCCTACAGTGAAGATGAGATGGTAATTAATTTCTGGACCTACCAGACTAAATATAATTACTAGAAACCACAGCAACTGTAGGCATGTGCTGATAAAACAGAGTTAGATGTTACTGTATTTGTTTTTTACTCAACAGTTGATCCATAATTAAATGCTACAACAGAAAAAAAAACAACAAAAAACAACAACAAACAAGCCCAACATAAAAAACATTTCAAAAGAACTTCTAAAAAGCCGTAGATTAAAAATACTGGTAAAAAGTTATTAATTTTAGCATTTGTACCATATTATTAACTGCACATTCTCTGTTATGCTTCTTCAAACTTAAACTGCAGCAGCCACCAGGGAATAAAAAAAATCCTTTACGTTATTTACTGCCTCTGCATTTATGTGGTACTTAATACAGCATATTAACTTAATATTAGCTTAATTTTGTATTGATTAGATTCTTGGGACACAAGACTAGTCTCATTTTGGGGTCTACTGATTTGAAGAATTTGTGTTCCTTCCTACAAGAACTGTTTGTGAATTAGCTGATTGTATGAATTATCTCATCTTTCAAAATGAGGTTTTTAGGAAGGTTTTAAATTAGTCACTATTTTTACTCTCATAGTCAAACTCAAATTATACCTGTATATAAAAATATTCCTGAGCTCTCTGGAACTCTGTCTTCATGTTCTGCAAACCACCAAGACCAGGCTTTCCATAATGCATGTCAATTTTCTGTTTCAGAAGAGGACATCTATAAGAACTTTTAGAGTAGATTTCAGCAGATGCAACTTTACGTGTTGATAAGGAGTGGAACAGGCAAGGACACATACAGTTTCTGTACCTGTCACGAGCTTTCCTCTCCACAAAGACTACAAAGAGTTGTCAGAGAAGCCTGGAGAAAGATGAGCAGCATGAGTTTCCCCTTCTTTGTGAGGAAACAAGCTCTAGAGAGGTTCCTACAGATTCTGAGGTAGTTGTTTGCAGCAAAATTGACAAATAGCTGCTAAGGGTATCAAACTGAGCAAAACACTTGACTGATGAGAAGGAACACAAAATGGCACCAGTTGGATGTGCTCTTTGCATGTATCTTGTACTTATCTGCTTGTCCTTTGCACTTGAGCTAGCTATTGTCTCTGAAGCTATTGCCTCTAAAGAGGCAGAGGCACAACTCAAACACAATGTTAATTAAATTCTTATTGTAGAATCATCATCCTCATCATCTTGGTGGAAAAGCAGGGAATGTAGATCCTGTTTTATTTTCAGGTTTCAATCTGGTTTAAACAGAGCTAAGGCGATATGGGGTACATCTGGTGCAGAAAGAATCTGAACATTCCTGAGACCTTTACAAATGTTGTTACCGTGAAACACAAGCTGATTTTATGTCCACTGAGTTGCTATTACTAGTAGCCTTTGCAATGTATTTTCAGTGTGAGTAGATACAAAATGAGTGTGCTCATATATTAGTCACATTCAGTATGTGAGACTGCTCTGCTAATAGCAACTGGTAAAATCTGTGGTGAGGAACTGAACAAATCCTATGATTTTAAGAAATAAATAAAAAACCATGTCTCTGTCTTCTTTACAAGTTGTACCTCTATTTATCAGCTGACCGCCAATCTGTATTCTGTAATTACATTATTTGTTGCAGCTATTTTTCAAAACTGTGCAGAAATGCACTGCTTTAACTCAGTAGCTATTCTCTTTCTCTGCCCTGCTGTGATGCTTTTATCATAATACTCGTCATATGCTAGCAGCCACAATCTTGTGCTACCAAGAATGGCCCCATAGAAAGGCTAAGATGAATTTTCAGATGGCTCCTTAAATTTATTCCTTTCCTCTCTGCTATTGTTAGCAAAGCAATAAGCTGCTTTTTTTTTTTTTTTTTCTCTCTGATGCCTCATTCTTCAATTCTGTTGGAAAGGATGAAGACACAGGGTAGGAGAAAGCTTTCTAGGCTGTTTAGCACTGAATAATCTACTGCTGTTCATGCTAATAGATGGTGCTAGGTTTGATTACTAATTTTGCAAATTAATATCTAAGTAAATTACTTTTTTAGATTGTTTCCAATGATTCTTTCTCTTTAATCTCCTCTTTGAAT